TTCGAAGTGTCCTAGTAGTCCTTCTCTATTTCTGCGTTTCAACAGCGAACAAAGACTTGTTGGTAAAGGAGTTTGTCAAGCGTAAACTTGAAGTTCATATGTTCTAGGTAGCCATGTTTTCCACCACTTAGAACGTTTTTACATAGAGAGATGAATCATATATCTGTCTATCACAAAATGAATACATCCGTTAAAAAACGTCCGTATTTCCTTAATTCAATTTTCGAGAATCCATATTTAAACTGAATTTTTCTTCAAGAGCCCCTTTATCCTTCACAGGTTGAAACTTGTGTTTTTGCGCTGAATAGTCTAGGAATTCTCATGTGAAATTTGCTTAACTGGAGAATACATCAATCTCTCGTTGTTGTCCTACTTAAGAAGGCCGCATTTCTTTCATTTCAAGAAAATGCGCCTCAAAATTTACTACTAGTTTAACTCCCCAGCAATTCTATAAGGGATTCTAGGGTAGGTTTTTTGACACATCCGTAAAAATTAAAAGTGCGTTAAAGGCAGGTGTAGATGCAGAGGATAAAAAGAACCTACCCTTGTCACCGATTTCACCGCGCGCTCCATCCCGGCCGGGCAAACCAGTGACTCCTTTCGGGCCCTGCGGTCCTCGTGGTCCCTCGGGACCCATTCCAGATGCACCACTGAAGCCCTTCTCTCCGATGTCTCCCATTTCTCCGACATCACCTAAGATGGAAGACAATATGGGGGATAACAGTGGAAATACTAATAAACTTGTATATGAAAGACAGTAGGGAGATTAATATATTAATGTATATATAAATATGTATAATATAATATATATCATTATTTAATATATAACGTATTAATATGTATTATTCAGCTGCCGTTCCGGTAGCCATTCCTGGTTACGGTGGACGCTACCTGAGCACCTTCCTTCGTTGATGTTCTGCAGGCCGAGAAACTAAATAACCTCCGTTGCTAGCCGTCTACCATGGTTTTTTTGTGATGAAGAAGGCTTTACTAATGATGGGTGATTTGCCGAAACTAGTACTTTTGGTCTCTATCGTCTTTGTCAAATACATTTCTCAATGGGTTAGTCATCAACTTAACAAAAAGGACGTTTAACCGATTTGATGTCTGTTCCGGGCTATTTTGACATATTTTCTTATTAATTTGAAAGAAACAACGTACACACGCACGCGCATGCCCTATGCCTCGAACATACGGAAGCAGGGTCCGGTCTACGCAGATGAGGATCACCGGCAAAATCCAGGGATTAAATTCATGGCGCAAGGCGTGGCGTTTGTAGCTCAACTGGTAGAGAATTGGCTTTGCAATAAGTCCCTTCTTATTATGCGGGAATTGGGTCAACTTAAAGAAAAAACTAGGGAGACTGGATTGGCCATCCAGTAGCCTTCATTAGTCAGTCAGCCCCAACCCCGAGTGCAGCACTACTCGACGCTCGAATCTACACCTACTATTAAGTCTCGGGCACGTTGTCTTGCCGGTTTCGATCGGGCATACTGACAGTCGTTGATGAACGTTCATCGATCGTTAACTGAACTAAATCCTCTCACTCTGTCTTCGG